AGGCATGAAATAGTGAATTTCCAGCCTCCTGTTCCACTCCTTGTCAGTCATGTTCTCATAAAGTTTGTTCTTTACGAATGCTTGGTAGACAGCGAAGTTCCCCCAAAAGAACAGCAAGGTTACTGAGAGGGAAATGAGCACAGAGCCCAGCAGGAGCCAGGGCACCAAAGCTGGGAGCCTCCACTTCAACCACAGAAAGGCAGGATGGGAGAAGTTAGCTATCTTTACGCAGAACAGGACACTGAGCCAGGTAGCAAACCAGAAGGTGGCTGAGTTCAGGAATTCCCAGTGCAGAGAAAGGAGCTGCCGGGCAAGAGTCTTGGAGAAGTCAACCAGGCTGAAGAAATAGTAGACGCTGTACACCAGCCCAACACACTGCTGGAGGAGGCGGGAGGCACCTAAGCCAAGGAGAATCATGTACGAGGGGAGCAGCCTACCACGCCGCACCCTCTCACGGCTCAGCATCAGCACAATGAATCCATTGGCCAGGATGCCCAGGACACACAGCAGGACAAAGAGGGATATGAAGAAGATTGTCAGTGCTGGTTCCATTCTGGTTCCTCCTCTAGTCACCAGAGATCAGAAGTCCTGGTCCCTAGGCTCCTAGGACTGCCCCCACACTTCTGTGGGGAGAGTGCATTGTCAGAGAGTGCAAGTCCTTCTGTGCTTTTGCTTCTGCCTAGAACTGCAAGCAGTGGTCAGGCTCTGTACCTGCACCTGAGCCAGAGCTCACTCAGAGAGGAGGACACTTGAGTGAGCAAGGAAAGGCATGCTGTTGTCTCAGAGATCATGCAAATGTCCCCTTGGCTCAGTTACCAGGAGGCCTTCAGGAGGCCCTGATTTGCCTTCTCTGGTTTTGCCTGTTTGCTGCCATGGTTAATGCAGCACCCATGCAGAGGCCTTTTCTGTGTGTGTAACTGGGTGCAATCTTTCCTGTTCCACCCTGGGCTGTGTGAATGCTCCTACACCCATTATATCATTCTTGAGAGACACGAATGACAGATGATAGGTAGGTAGGTAAATAGATAGATAGATACATAGATACATAGATAGAGAGAGGCAGATAGAAAAATGACAGATAGATAAGTATATATACAAGTATAGAGAGATCATTGGGGAAATAGTGACACTGAAGAAGTCCGTCTCACATAAGCCTGTCATATGTGCACTCTCATCCATAAGAACCCATCTCTTCAAGATCAAATCTTGGTCCACTTTT